TACGGCATTTTGAGGTGGGTCACTTCATGAGCCTGATTGCATCCAGCTCAGTGGTCACTGTGGGCTTTTTAGCCTTGCTCACACCCGTTGCCTAAAAGCAGCCTCTACTTGATATACCTCCTCTCTCCTCCCCCCCAACCTGAGGTATACATTCCCTTTCAAGGGAAGGTCAGGATTCCAATAGCAGGAATGCATAAATAAACAAAGAAATAGTCAATACTCAGCTTTTGAGTTTCCAAGCCGATTTTCAAAAATTCATGATAGAGTCAAGAGTCTTGAAAGCCAAGAGTTTGATTGGAAGAGAAAGGGTCCAATGCCAGGTCATAAGGTTTATGCCACACACAGGGAAGTTGGGTGAAGGAGAGCCAGTGTAGCCTGCTCCTTCATAGCCAAGCTAAGGCATCGGGGACAACTGGGGTGGAGTGGGAGGCGGCCTGTGGGTGGCACCAGACCTGGAGGGATCAAGAAAGGCCAAGTCAGCATCAAGAGGATCCAGGAAAGGCTGAGCCCAGGCTTGGTGAAAATCCATTGCCCCTTGTGCTTTCTGCAGACATCTGCGTGAGCCATGCCTCTCAGTGGCAGGGAGCTGGGAGCCTCCTGGGAGGACCTCGCCTGTCAAATGTCCAACAGAAATAACACCCGGCCAGACCTAAGCCTCCTCGCCTCATCCAGCTACCCACGTGGGCAACCTCTTCCTGTCCAGAGGAGCAGTGGTGATGTTGTAGGACACGCCCCAGCGATTGTCACTGGTGGACTGAACATCACAAGCCTGAGGTTTCATCCCAAGTTAAACAGCTGGTGGCAAATCCTAAGCCCTCACATGCGTTCAAAATATGTTTATGCTGGGGCGCCTGGGTGGCTTAGTCGGTTAAGCGTCCGACTTTCGCTTGGGTCATGATCTCGCGGTTCGTGGGTTCGAGCCCCGCGTCGGGCTCTGTGCTGACTGCCAGTCAGAGCCTGGAGCCTGTTTCAGTCTGTGACTCCCTCTCTCTCTGACCCTCCCCTGCTCACGCTGTCTCTCTCTCTCTCCTAGAAATAAATAAAACATTAAAAAAAAATATATGTTTATGCTAACAAACACCTCTTTTATTGCAAAAAAAGGTTTATTGTGGAAAAAGGCAGATATTAAAAAAGAATCGAATTAATCCAAAGGATACCTGCTAAGCCGGGGGCAGCTGTGCTGTCCTAGGCCCTCCTTGTGGGTGATGCTGGTCTAAGAGAGTATGAAACACTGTGTTGACCCCTGCCGAGGGCCCTGTCTGTGGTCTGTTGGCAGAGGGTGGCTCCTCTCCCACCCCAGCTCTCGTTTCATTCCTGGGGAGCGTCCTGACACGTCCCCCTCCTCTTCTCTCCCATCCCCTTCCCCCCCTCCTCCCACCCTGCCCCCCTGACCAAAGATGTCCATGCTGAAGTCTGCCCTGACTTTTGCCCCAGCACCCCCACACCCCTCCACCCCCCCGGACCGCCAGCCTACCAGCCCCCACCCAGCTCCCTGCTTCAGGGCTGCCCCTCTGATTCTTTCCCCTCGGGGCAGCCAGAGGGACGTGTCCATTCCTGCTTCCATTCGTTCCTTGGCTCCTGATTGTGGCGAGTGGAGTCCAGCCGCCCAGAGCAGGGATTTAGGGTTTCCTTGGTTTGGTTGCGACCCCTCTTTCTGTGCCCCAGGCCGCTCCTGTCACTCTCCTCCGTAACTTCCTGGAGACTGGATGGTGGCGAGCCCCAGGGCTGGGCTGGGCTGGGACTACCTCTCTCCCCCCCTTTTCTTCCCTACCCTGTACATCCCCAGCCCTTCCGCCTCAGCCCCCAAGCCTCATTGAATTGCAAACTCTCCAGGTGGCCTCAGAGGAAGGAGGTGCGGCGAGCGCCCTCCTCTGGCTGCTTCTTGGAGGCCCCTGAGCTGGGGCAGGGCGAGGGCCTGGCCGCTCTTTCCAGACTCCCTTCCTCGATACTTGGGAGCCTTTCAGATCCTGGCTCTTTCGTGTGCCCGCTTGGCCATGACATCCTGGTGCCCATGGCTGGGTCATTAATTCCAGGGTGGCAGAAGGGACCCGGCTCAGGAAACATGGGCCTGATAGGAAGGCCATCAACTGCCACCTGCTGGCTGGATTCAAGCTCCCAGCAAACTGTTCCTGGTCTTTAAATCTTGCCTTAATCACCGTGACCTTGACATCCCACATCTCTGTCCACAGGGTCCCCACTGCCCAACTCCCACTTGAGGCCCGCCCCTTTTCACTGCCCCCTGTTTCCCTCACTGGGTCCGTTCACCCCACTCATACTAGCACCCCACCCCCAGGACTCATACGTACATGCAGAGGGCTCTGGAAAGGGGCAGTGCTTAACCCCGAGGGACTGTGTTCTAATAGGGGAGAGCAGGCAATGCGGCAGCCACGTCGAAGGGAGGGCTCTGAGCCGGAGGGCTTTGTAGAATGGCCTGGACCTGACTTTCCCTTCGCCAAGTAAGACTGACCCATTTGTGTTTGTTACCGAATTAAGATTCCAAAGAAAGACAGGCTGCAGGTTGTTTCCAAATAGAAACACACATGCACAGAGAACAGAGAGCTTGTGCCAACATCCCAGCTCGGCCCGCTTCCCTTCCCTGCTCTGCACGCCCTCGCCCTCGGTGTGGGGAAAGGGATCTGGTAACACTTCCTGCCGTGGAGGTGAAATGCCTGCTCCCGGTCCGGGCAGCCCCTGTCGGTGCGCAGCCCCTTCCGAGCAGCAAGGCTGAGAAGCAGGGGCCTGGTGGCGGGAGTGTTTTCAACATGAAGTCATTCCCCACAGTGAAGAAGCTCCCACGTCCCACACGGTCCACTGGCAACCTGGGATGTTTGCTCTGCGCCAGAAGAGAGTCTAAAAATGCCCCAAGCCCATCTTGGGATCTCAGGAATCTGGCTGGAAGAGAACCTGGGAGACAGCAAATCCCCAAACAACCCGCCTACCCCACATGGAGGCCAGCAGGAGGTGAAGCTCATTCCAGCCTCCGGGGGCTCTGTGGCCCACAGGGTCACGTGATGCCCACAGACTGACTGCTGGCTGAGCCCACAAGGGCAGGGTTGGTTTTTTCTTGTTTCTGGGTTTCCAGAGCCCAGGGCTGAGTAAATCCAGCTACTCAAGTGTGTGTTAGGCTCTTGAAAATTCAAGTAGGTGTTGGGGGGCGGGGGGAGGCAGGACAAGGGGTTGTAGGCATGTCCAAGAGGGACCTCTCCAGGGAAGAGAAGGGTTTGGAGTTCAGCGTAAGATGTCCTTGCCTGGAGAAAAGAAGGGAGCAAGCACATGGTGGGGAATGTGGCAGCGGAAATCGGTTCAAAGAGCCGGTCCTACACTGTACAATAATCAAAGCAATGTGGTGGGGGGGCCGTAAGTGGCAGAGGGATCTGCCTAACAGACCAGGCATGGAATATTTTCTAGTATACGAGGATCTGAAGGACATAAAGACAACCAATGAGAAACTGATGGGTTATTCAACAATGCAATTGGGAAAATGGGCTACTTGGGGGTGGGGGAGGGGGATCCCATTTGACCCTGACCTTGGACAATTTGCCACGATCAGTAATGATTAAAGAGTTGTCCAGTGAGGCTCAGAATTGGGGATTCAGTGGGATAGAGGCACACATGAGACAGAATTTCTTGTCCATTCTCCTGCTCCCCCGGACCTGAGGAGGGTGATGTCTCAGTCAAGGTAGAACACATCTCCCTCAGCATCGCAGCCTGGAGAAGGAACTCGCAATAACTGGACTCACAGTGACCTTAACAGTTTTTCTGAGCCCAGGACTTTGTGAACTGATCCAGAGCACAAACTCCAGGGGTGTCTTTCTTCAAACTCACATTGAGCAAAAGGGACTTTTCTGCACCCAAAACTGCACATGAGATCGTTGTGCTATTTCCTTTCTCCTGGCATATGTCTTGTTTGCACTACTTATGCTGGACGCTGGGGGCTTTTGGGGATTTGTCTCATTCTCTCGACTGCTGGCATAATGGAAACTTAAAGGTTAGACCAGGAAGGGACCCTAAAAGTGTCCTGTTCCCTCACTTTGTAGAAAGAGAAAGTGAGGTCCAGAGAGGAATGGCTAATTACTCAATGTCACACAGCCCTGTCAGAGGCAGACCCAGGCTTGGACCACCCCCCAGTCCCTGGCATCCTGCCCAATTTGCTTTCCTGCGGCTCTTCCGAGTTTCCTATGGCATCCATACTGCTACATGGCTGGCTACTTAGCTGCCTGGCCCCTCTGCTCTATGACAATCCTGGCTTGGTGAGAGTGTCTCCCAGGGGCCTGGCAGCCCCGCCCATCTCCCCTTGTCTCCTGCTGGGCCTCCGCCCTCCCCTCCAATGGATTCTGCCCAGTACTGAGTCCTGGGGGACCGGAGCACGTGCCTCTTCTGGTTCTGGGCTCAGAAGATCCGTGTCCTTGTGTGTCTTCCCCACTATACCAGCTGAATGACCTTGAGTGGGTCATTGCTCTGGATCTGACTGCTCTTGAAATTGGACATGATATTAGAACATAGCATCTAGAGCTGCTGTGCAGATCAGAAGAGCCAAGTATATGGGATTGTGCTTTGTAAACTGAGGCAGCCTTCTGGTGTTAAGGCGTCGGTGTGCCCCATGCCCAGCACGGGGCTGGATACAGGGTGGATGCTTACTGAATAGCTGAAGGACAGTGGTTCTCAACCGGGGGCGATTATCACATCCTAGGGGATACTGGGTGATACCCGGAGACATTTTTGTTCATCACCACCAGGGAGGGGTTGCTCTAGCATCTGATGGGTGCTGCTAACCATCTTACGGCCCTCACAGCAAAGAATGATCTGGCCCCAAAGGTCAGTAGCGCTGGTTCAGAAGCCTTGCTGTAGATGAACGAAAGTGTGAAATTATATCTGTAGCTACAGACATGGCTTGTTGTTCTAGAAAGGCAAGGAGCTGTGACTGGGAACCTGGCCCTCAAGGTACCAATGGTGACCAAGGTCAGGAGCCACTAGAGTTAAATGAGATGGTCATCCCCGGCTTTGAGAAGTTGAAAACATTTTATTTCAATTCTATCCTTGGGAGGCGGCATAAATAATCACAGAAGACTCCCAAGGTCCACGGGGAAGAAAAAAAATGGTCAAGAAGTGTGAGGAGATGAGAGCCGATGCTGTCTAGCTGCAGGGGGTGGAAGGCGAGGAGACCCTGCTTTAGCTGGCTGAGAGGGTGGAGGGTTCTTGGAGGAAAGGCCCAAAAGGTAGGGGCTTTCCCGGCCCAGGTCATCTGGGGAGGGGGCTTAGGGACCCCTGGCCTCTGTGGATGGATGTGGGGCAGGTGTGGGGCATAACGCTAATGAGAGAAGAGTGGACGCCGGTTCCTTGACCCCCAGGCCAGCTCTCACCCCCAGGCTGTGACTTTTCTGCGAGCAGTGTTTATAGACTCCATGGGTAGTGGGCAATGGAGGGCGAAAATAAGGAAACAAAAGAGCAAATGCGTAGAAGACCAAAGGAAATATGGCGTCTCAAAGAGTCACGTGACCTTGGGCCACTTTTGTTTCCTCATCTGCAAAATGGAGAGAAGAAGCTCCCTACTTCTTGGAGCGGATGCGAGGCTCAAATGAGACCCTACGTGTCAGAGAACCGCGTAAACTTTAAAGTGCTATACGGGCGAGGGGCGGTGGTCGTTCTACGAGTGTAAGGCTGAAAGTGGCGGAGACACAAGCGGTGAGGGGCGCACGTGCGACACACCCCTCAAAGTGGTCAGACCCCTGCTCTGCCTTCCCCAGGGCCAAGCTCCACCCTTCTCAGCCTCAACTTCCAGGAGGAAGGGGCCTCATCTGAGGGAGTCCCCTGGGGAGCGAGAGCAGAAGGCGGGGGCCCAGAAGGGTAGAGGGGCACTGAGTGTGGAGGGCCTCAACTAGGCAGTGTGACACATTGGCACTACTGGTGTTGGGCAGACGTAGCAGTGGCTTCCGGTTCTCATTCTCCACAGAGACGTGGGCACCGGCAAAGCCCCTGTGCGACCGCCATCGTGATGCAGTGGGAAGGGCCCTGGCCCTGAGTCTGGATACACTGGGTCCCAGGCCTGGGTCAACTGTTGACCTTCCAGGTGACTTAGCAAGTCACTTCCCCATTGCAACCCTCAGTTCTGTCCTTGGTGAAATGGGGACGCTATTCCCTACCCTGCCTACCTCACAAGTCAAATGGGAGAAGGCTGTTCCAAGAGCTTGAAGAGAATCATGGGAAGGCAAGGGGTCATTATGGCCTTGGCGAGCAATCCTCTTAATTCCCTGAAGACAAGAGAGAGGGGGCGAGAGACAAAAGGGAGCCGGGCTGCTTACAACCCTTGTCAGGTGAGTCGGGCTTGCCGGGCTGGCTGCCGGGGGTTGGGGGGGGGGGGGCGGGGAGAGAGGGAGGTGCGGGGAGGGGAGGCTGAATGGCTGATGCCTGTAATCCAGCCCTTCCTGTGCGGTCCAGCAGGGATGCTGGGAGCCCCGGCTGGCAGCCAAAGTTCAAGTTCGGTGTCTGCTGGGGTCCTGGCCTCCCCCTCTGCTCCCTGGTCCACTGAGGGCACCCCTCAGGGAGCCCGTGCTCTTTGCCCCGCAGAGGAGAAGCTGGCTCCAGGGGTGGCTGCGAAAGGGTGGGTCTCCAGCCGTGGGTCTCCCTCCGGCAGAGGCTGGGGACTGCATGAGCGTGAGGTCCAGAGATCAAAGGTCAGCTTCCAGTCCTTGAGGCGGCAGGTGGGGTCCTCAGGCGGTCCCCAGCTCAAGTCCCGGCTCTGTCTCTGGGGTCCCCGGAGAAGGGGAAGTTACGGGACGAGTGGAAACCACGGAGATCCGAGGTCAGCTTAGAAGGCGCCCCGCCGGAGAGCTAACAGTTCTTGGGGCTGTTGCGCAAGTTTTTCAGTTCCAGCTGCAGCTGCCGAATGCGGATGTCCTTCTGGGCCAGCTCTTCTTTCAACCGCCGGATCTCATCCTGCTGCCGGAAGAACATTCGAAGGAGCTGGGGACGAGAGGGGCCAGGGCGGTGGGGGGTGCGGGGGGAGAGCAGGTGAGAAGGCGATTTCCTGAGAGGCTGTCGTCCCCGCCCCTGCTCCCCCTGCAGCCTCTCCCAGGCCTTTCCCTGCCCCCGCTTGAGTCCCGAGAGGCTCCTGTCACTGCAGTATGCCCTTCTCGAGAGCCAGCTCGTGGCTCCTACTTCCCCTGGAGGGTAGGAGAGAGTCCACATGGGTCCCTTTCCCAAATATCTCAAGGACACCCTTTTAGAGGTGCAAACATCATACTCCTACTTGCCATTCTGAATGGGAACCTTTCTTTATTATTATTATTTATTTTTTATATGTTTATTAATTTTTGAGAGAGAGAGAGCCAGCGGGGAGGGACAGAGACAGACAGAGAGAGAGAGACAGAGAGAGATACAGAGAGAGAAACAGAGGATCTGAGGCGGGCTCTGCACAGAGCCTGAGGCAGGGCTCGAACTCATGAACCATGAAGTCGTGAATCGAGCTGAAGTCAGATGCTCAACAGACTGAGCCACCCAAGCACCCCGTGCTTATTTTAAGGTGTCACGTCCAATGAGGGCCTTGAACTCACGATGCTGAGATTAAAAGTCATATATTCTACTGACTAAGCCAGCCAGGCGCCCCCCTGAAAGGGAACCTTTCTAAAATGTTTCGTGTCCTTCTGTTCGTAAGGATGCTCAGGATACACAGTGGAGTCCAGCTTTTCTCGTGCTGACATGGGGCCATCACGGGCAGGCCAACATCTGCACTGGGCAGTGGTGCATTTGCTGGGTGAGCAGGAGCAAGACGCCAGCATCTTAGACACCTCCCCGGATTAGCCAGTCTCTCTTCTCCTTCCAGAAAACTGACACTGCCCGTAAAACACTGAGCCCTGCAAAACAGCAGCAGGCCACCTGAGGACCCCACACACTTGAGATGAATGTTACCAACATGCAGTTGTGTTTGTCCTCAAACTTCTGGGTATGAGTTGCATTTGTTTTTGTAATTGTGTAATTTCACCCAATAGGATATAAGCTGATGAAATAGGTCAAAAGAGAGTTGCTGTTTCTTTCTTTTTAAAAAAAAAATTTAATGTTTATTTTTGAGAGAGAGAGAGATAAAGAGATAGACAGTGTGAGTAGGGAAGGAGTAGAGAGGGAGACACAGAATCCGAAGCAGGCTCCAGGCTCTGAGCTGTCAGCACAGAGCCCGATGCGGGGCTCGAACCCAGGAACCGTGAGATCATGACCTGAGCTGAAGTTGGACGCTTAACCGACAGAGCCACCCAGGCACCCCAAGAGTTGCTGTTTCAATAAAAATGAAGTTGAATGCATTAGAGAAAGGGGATGCTAATAAAAAAACCTGCTTCACAGTTTGGTGGCACGATAGACGCATAAAAGATTGGGGGAATGTGTGATATCTTGACTGTCCCACAGTTGTGACGTGGCTGTACCTGTTTGTCAAAACTCACAGAACTGGACATCACCACGGACGAATGTTGCCACAGGTAAATTATACCTCAATAAATCTGTCTTAAGGAAGAAAAAAGTGGGAAAAACTTTGGAAAAAACCCCTTGGGCTGTGTTTTCAGATTGACTTTAAGTTCCTGTTTCACCTCAAACCAAAACTGCAATCTGGAGTGAATGGGTGATTTATTTGTGAAAGACACGGCCGATTCTGACCAGGGATCTCCTCAAAGAAAAGGTCTTGGGTCCTACATCAAAACAGGATTTAGGATTTATTTATTTTATTTTATTTTATTTCTTTTAATGTGTTAGTATATGTGCTGCCGAAGTGATCACTATTTATTTAATGGGTTAAAGAAGATAAATGAATGAAATTAAGTAAATGAAATAGAAGAATGTCCATATCATTTTTATGATTCATTGTTTAAAAAAAATTTTTTTAGTGTTTTATTTATTTTTGAGAGGAGGGGGACACAGAATCCAAAGCAGGCTCGAGACTCCGAGCTGTTGCCACAGAGCTCAATAAGGGGCTCGAACTCATATGAACTGTGAGATCTTGACTTGACTGAAGTTGGACGCTTAACCGACTGAGCCACCCAAGTGCCCCTTATGATTCTTTCCTTAACTGACTTTTCTTTTCTTTTTTTTTTTTTTTAAAGCTATATCAGTACTGGTTACCTCTGTTCGGAAGGATGATGTGCTATTTGCCCCTGGCTACATGATTCTACAAACTCTGGTGTCTTCCAAGTTCTCAAACTTTCTTTGCATAATCTTTTGATCACGTTTTGTTTAGAAGAAAAAACAGCTGTACTGAAGTGTCATTCCCATACCATAAATTCCACCCATTTTATGCATACCATTAACATTAGTGAATTTTAGTAAAATCGAACAAAATGAATTTTAGTAAAATTCAGAGGTTGTATAACCCTACATCTTGTCCTCTGTGTCATGCCTCCAGTTTCCCTTCCCAGATAGACCAATATGTCCACCATTTAAAACCCAATTTTCTAGGGGCACCTGAGTGGCTCAGTCGGTTAAGCGTCCAACTTCGGCTCAGGTCATGATCTCACAGTTTGTGGGTTCGAGCCCCGTGTCGGGCTCTGTGCTGACAGCTAGCTCAGAGCCTGGAGCCTGTTTCAGATTTTGTATCTCCCTCTCTCTGACCCTCCCCTGCTCACGCTGCCTTTCTCTCTCTCTCAGAAATAAAAACAAACAAACAAACAAACCTAATTTTCTAACTGGTTGATCCCAATCGGCTGCAGTGGTTAAAACTGTGGATAAACCCAGCGTCCGCAGGCTCTGAGTGAATTTCTTCATAGTAAGGAAGGTTCCCAAGCTTTACTGCAGATTGCGGTATCTGTGTTTGCCTGCTTGGGGACCCTGAAAACCTTTCTCCAGGTCAGGTTTGGTTTCTAGAAACCAGTCATAGCTCAATGTTACTTGATTTCACCATTGCTCACCCCTGACTCCTCCACACTGGGTACGAGAACTGACCTCAGGCTCTTGGTGTGGCCTTCCCTGGGCTATCACAGCAACTCTGCTACCTCTACCTTCTCAGTGTGCTTAAAAAGTGTTTTTTTTTTTTTTAAGTGGAAAATGCCAAATATATACAAGGGTGGGGAGAACAGCATTATGAACGTCCAAGAACTCACCAATTGGCTTCAAGAAATAACACATGATCAGTCTTGCTTCATCTCTACTTCTACCCAATTCACCTGTACCACCTCTTTCAGGGATTATTTTGAAGCAAACCTCATTTATCCCATGATTCCATCCAGTCCTAGAAATCTGAACATCCCTCGATAAGGCTACTAAACCTATTTTATAGCAATTGTAAGTTCACCGTTCAGATTTCCCTTCAAGACTGTGAGATCCCAGAGGTCGGGAATAGTCTTCTTTTTATGAATAATAGTGATGATCGTAAGTTGGTGTGACAAGAAACCTCTAGGATGGCCCCTGTGTTGTCCCTCCCCTCAAGGGTGGACTGGACCTAGTAACTTGCTTCAGATGAATAGAATATGGCAGAAGTGATAATATGTCATTTCCAAGAGCCTATGACTTCCATCTTGGACACCTTCTCTTGCTCACTCGGAGGGATACCAGCTGCCATGTTGTGAGCTGCCCAATGGAGAGGTCCATACGGCAAGGACCTGAGGGAGACCTCTGGCTGATAGCCTGAGAGGAACCGAGACTCTGTGTCCAACAACCTGTGAGGGAATCAGTCCTTCCGGCAACCATGTGAGTGAACTTGGGAGCAGCTCCTTTCACAGCTGAGCCTTCAGATGTGACAGCAGCCCAGCTGATGGTTGAACCACATGGTCTCATGAGAGACCTTCAGCCACGGGCATCCATTATGACATACTATGAGATAATAAATGTTCGTGGGTTTGAGTCACTAGGTTTTGGGGTGATGTCTGACGCAGCAATAGATAACTGATAGAGTTAGCCTCACTGAGCACTTCGTAGGGGCCAGGAAGAGTGCTAGACACTTAGAAAATATCTCTTTAATGCTCACCGCATTTCATCTCCCCATCTTACCATGAGAAAGGTCAGGAAACTTGCTTGGGCACAGCCAGGAAACAGCAGAGCCAGGATTGAAATGCAGTTGAGTCCACGGAGCCGTCTCTACTCCAGTGGCATTGAGCCACGTGCCTGGCACAGGGCAGGCATCTGTGAACCCTGGCTGGGCCGAACTCAGTCCCTAGTATTGGCATCAGGGACTGGGGGTACTGTCGGAAGGAGAAACCTTCGGGGGGCATGGATAAGACCCAGCTACAGTCACCCAAAATGAGCTGCTCCTACTCTAAATGGTCCAGAGAGTACTTGCATAAACACAGCCTCTTCCCCATCCAAGAGAGGAAATTGTCAGACCCCCTCGCTGCCACAGTGGCAGGGAGGAAGGCCGGGCTGTAATGCCCGAAGCCAGGCTTTCCTCTGTTAGCCAGGAATTTATAATTCCCGTAACAGCAAATGACAGTGACGTTCCGGAATGGATTCATGAGCCATGGAACTGTGGGGGCTAGTGAATGTGAGGCGTGGGGGTGGGGCCTCAATATTGCTACCATACCCCAGCCTCTATTTATTGGGGTCAGAGGCAACGGAAGCCAATCGCAAGCTACTTACGGTATTTGTCACGGAAAGAAAAATGCCCCAGATGGAGCCGGCTTAAAGGCCTGAAGCCCGTAATTGAAATGTAAAGGTCTCGCTCTTCCAGGACCCGTGGAAGTAATAACTTATAGTCCTTACCTCGTTCTCTGTCCTGGGTGGGACATTCTCTAATAAATCTATTCCATTGACCACAACACTCTTCTTTTCTTTGATGGGAGCCTTAAATACCATTTTTGAGGACTTCTTATAGCCTTCCTTCAGAGACATCAGCACGGGATCTACAAAAGGCAAGGGGAACGTTCACACTGGGGCAGCTTGGTCGCGTGCCAAGTGATGGGGTCTTTTGTCCACACCCTGCTGGGCCGAGCGTGGGGGAGTCAAAGCAGAGGCCATGCAAAGGGGAAATGGGTGAACTCGAGTGGAGGCAAATGCTGCAGCCTCCAAGCCTCTTCTGGGAAGCCCGCCCACGTGGTACCTCGGTTGATGCCCCCTAGCCACTCATCGGGGGTCAGAGCTGGCTCCGTGCCTGGCGTCATGGGGTAAATGTCTTCCTGGTAGGAATCCGACTGCAGTGAGGGGAGCAGAAGAGGGGACACACCGGGGCCGCTGTGAGAACCCCCAGCAGCCGGCTCTCCTTGCTGACCTCCCGTCGAGCTCCCGCTGTCCCGCCTCCAAGCCTTTGCCCTCAGATGTCTCCCACGTGAAATCCCCACCCTGCCTTCGTTAGCAAGCCAGCCTCTCCCCACCCTAGAATGGTCCCCAATTCCCACCCCCAATTGGGCCTGAAGACTTCAGTCTACAGGACCTTCTTCTGAGCTCCTCGGGCTTACAGTCCAGCCATCTAGGATTCAACACCGGGTCCCTTTGGAGCCCAGCGCGGCCCCACTCACCCTCCGGGGCACGATCATGGAGATGGGCTCAATCAGGCCCTTGAGAGTCACCAGCTTGTAGAAGCGGAACACCTCGCAAGCCGACACATCCAGCCCGTGCTTGGGCATGACCCCTGTGGACAGGCACATGCGGCTCTGTGGGGTCTGGGGGACCCCTGGCCAGTCCCCCACCTCCCTGATGTCCTTGATCAAGAGTGTCCTTGAGCACTAAGGTCTGGAGGCAATGCTCTATGCTGAGGGCAGCAGGTGGACTGGGGGCTTCCTGAGGGAGACTAAGTAGTAACATCTCGAATAAGCCCTTCCGGCGAGTCCTGCCTCACCAAGGTGCATGCTTTAGGAATGGGACCTTATATAAGCTGTTGAAATATTTTAGTCTCTTCCATTCTTTTTATAGATGAAACTCCTAAGGGTTTAGGGGCTTGCCCCAGGTCGCAGAGTATGGCTGGGGCAGAGCCACAGAGCCTGTCACCATTTTTTTAAGTTGTTAAAAAAAATGTTGATTTGTTTTTGAGAGAGCAAGAGAGGAGTGAGAGCTGGGGAGGGGCAGAGAGAGGAGAGAGGGAGACAGAGAATGCAAAGCAGGCTCCGTGCTGTCAGCGCAAAGCCCGATGTGGGGCTCACACCCACGAGCTGTGACGCCACGACCTGGGCCGAAGTCGGATGCTCAACCCACTGAGCCACCCAGGCGCCCTGAGCCTGTCACCTTCTAAAACAAAGTAGCTTCCCTAAGTCTCTGTGTTTCTGGTCCTCAAAGAGAACAAAGGAGAGAGAAACCTTGCTCCATGCACCCTAGAGCTTGAGACTGCTGTCGAGTCATATACTGGGACTGACAGGGCATGCGTGCGTGGTACACATATTAACCGTGTGTCTGTCCTGGCCACAGTGTTCCTAACACCAGTGGCGTGAGGAACACACGCTTTGGGGTCGGCCACACCTGGTTCTGAGTCCTGACTCTGCCTCTCTTTCTGGCTGGGAGGCCTAGGGTAGATCACTGCCTGTCTGAAGGTTTCAGGTTCCTTGGCGGGTTCGAGGAGAACAGTGTGCCCCTTTAGGAGATGGTCAGGGGACAGGGTGAGAAGATGCTCGATGACCGCCTGGCGTCCTCACGAGCCCACAGAGGATGTTAGTTTCTTTTTCCGTGATGTGAACGTGAGTTAAGTTCCCAGCTCTCCTTGACTGGAATGGAAGGTTTCTCTTCCAGATGCAGGAATTCTAGAAGCTAGAGGGGAGTACTGTAATGGTACCCAAGTGGGATTTAGAGCCAGTAGAGCTGGTTTTGAATTCTCGCTCTGCCACATGGGACCTAGGTGACCCGCCTGGGGTGAGTCACCTCTCCACCCTGAACCCGTGAAATGTGCCTGGCTCAGGGCAGATGCTTCCCAGTGGCCACAGGTGACCGGGGCGAGGAGAGGCACTTCTCCTTGGTTCCTCCCTCTTAATCGAGTCTTGCTGACCTGGCTTTCTAAACACCTGGATTCATCTTCTCCCCATCTTCCCGCCTCCTCCTTGGTTACCATCCTTTCCCTTCCGCCTCCTTAGTTACCACCCTTTCTTGGCTAGAAGTCCAAGAATGGCCTCCAAACCAGTCTCTCTGCCTCCCTCCCGTCCTTTCAAAATCCGTTCTCCCTACAGAAGCCAGAGCAATCTTGGACGAACATTTCAGATGGCGTCATGCCGTCCCATCTCCCATCCACCCACCTAAGGCAAAGAAAGGCCTCCAGTGAGTTCCCAGGAAAACCCAAACTCCTTCCCCTGTGTGACGGATAACTGTATGTATCAGTGGATTCAGGAAAGAAGACTGCCCTCCCCATCCAGTCCGTTGAGGGTCTGAATACAGCAAAAGGCAGAGGAGGGAGCAAGTCACCCCTTTTTTTCCCTGCTTCCTTGTTTGAGCTGGGACAGCTCATGTCGTCTTCTCCTGTCCTTAGACTGGGATTCACACCATCAGCTCTCCTGGGTCTCAGGTCTTCAGACTTGGACTGAATGACACCGCCAGCTTTCCTGGGTCTCCAGGAAGCCAGCAGATCGTGGGACTTCTCAGCCTCCATAATTGTGTGCACCAATTCCCCATAAATCCATATATATTTCTGTTCCTCTGGAGACCCCTCATAAATACATCTTTCTAATCCATCCCATGCCACCTGGTCCCTGTCCTAAGCTCCAGATTCATGTCCCAAGCTTCTCCCCATCTTCTGCCATGTCATAGAGTCTATGCTTAGTCACACTGACCTCCGTTCTGTTTCTATCTAGAACATGCAAGGCTCGTTCTTGCCACAGGGACTTTGCACCGATGGTTCCTCCTGCTGATCTTACTCTTCCTCCTTCCTGCCTTTCAGATCTCGGCCTAAAAGGTCACCTCCACAGCGAGGCCCTCCCTGACCACCCGGTCTACAAAAGCCCTCAGTTGCTCGCTGTTCTATTGGCTTATTTGATTCTCTGCCTAGAACTTACTACCATCCAGCATTTTCCTTCCTTATTTGTTGGTTGTCGGTCTCCCTTCAGTGGAATGTGAGTGCCCCAAGAGTAAGGCTGGGTTCTGTACTGTTTCCCACTGGGTCTAAGGGCTGCCACACAGCTGATACCCTGAGTTTGTTGAATGACTGTATGAGAGAGCAGAAGGACCACGTGCTCTGTACATATGCTCTCTATCTAGCCCTGAAAGGTAGGTTTGATTTTCCCTATTTTACAGATGGGAAAAATGAGCCTCAGAAGGGTGAGGTATACATTTGAGCCAGAATGTAAACTGAGGTCCGACTCTAAAGTCCAGGATGCTTTTTATCCTTATGACAAAGAGGTGACAGTGAGGAGGAAGAAATGACAGTCAGGAAGGGGAGAAGTCAATGGAATGGTCACAAGGCCTATCTCAGGGCCGCCATCTTGCTGCCAGTCACTGAGCTGGGCTCCCGGGCCCTTCCGGCCCTGACGACCTAGAAGCAGGCTCTCAGGCCCCATCTGTAGCGCCAGACCCCCACAGGGAACCAGGCAGACTTGGGCTCCGAGGTAAGGAGGGAACGGGGCCCCCAAAGAAACTTCTTCCAATGGGCTGACTCTGACCCCAACCAGGAAATTGCTGCATCGTATGCGATGCCAGCGTTAGTTGGGAGGAATGATGATTTTGCTGTGAGAATTCAGCAGTGGTGGCATGTGGGGTGGGAAGAACTCACTATGCTCCTCAGTCCTGGGCCCTCTGAAGGATTTGCTTAGAGGCTGGGGAGCTGGGGGTGCGGTGACGGCGACACCCTGGAACTTCATCCTGTCCTCACAGGCAAGGACAGAGCCGCTCCTGGAGACTAGGGTCCTGGCTTCCCAGAGGCTTCAGGAAAGTGTCTGGGCCTAGACGTTTCTCTGACCTTTAGTTGCTCCACCACCTGACAAGAGTGTCAGAGCCACTTTGTATCCCCATCTGGGGACGGGAAGGAAGCCACTGTGTACACCCCTGTGGGCTGCTGAAGACCAGAGGCGATGGAGGCTGTCAAACACCATGGAATGACAGTCAGGTGGGTGGTGACAGGCTGGCGGGAGCAGTGCCGGCAGACCTTCCCAGGGGCAGCACCTGCCGGTTCCGACTGCCCATGTGCTGTGGGCTTCCGGGTCTGATTTTCATTTAAAGGCAGGGGTGACCCATGAACCAAACACCCAGTCTCTTGTCCTACAGCACAACAGCCACGGAAGCCTCTGGACCCCCTTACCTAGGCCTTTCTGCGGGGCTGGGGAGCGGAACTCCATGAGGTAACTCAAGAAGGGCTTCTCAGTGCTGATCTCGTAGTACCGGATGTTTCCGTCTCCCTGGGGGCGGGGAGAGAGGGAGGTGAGGAGGGTGGGGGGAGGAGGGAGGCGCGGAGCAGGCCCTGGTCAGGGGGTTCTGCTGGAGGAAGCCTGAGAGGTGCTCCAAAGACCAGGGAGGCCTGGTCTCTAGACCCATGGGCGGGGGCAGAGGCGGTGTGGGTGTGTCGACAGCGTTTGTGATAAACAATTTGCCAAAAAGCTCCTGGCAGGTGCCCCAGATGCCGTCATGAATCACCATCCTCCAGGCTCCAGGCTCTGAGCCTGGTGTCCACCCCACCCCAGTGCACCTCGGAGGGAATTCTCAGTCACTGACACTTCAGTAAGAACGAGTGTCAGACCCGAGGGCAGGTTTTGATGGAAGAGAGTGAGAGGTGAGGACCAGAGAGGTTAGCCTGGCTCTCCCCAGGGGGTAGGGCAGGAGCAGGGCACAATGGGGGGGGGAGGGGTCTCCCACAGGCCACCCCAGCGCTTCCCACCCCCTGATCTTTGACTACCTTTCCAGCCAGGTAGAGCATGTGAGTGTCAGCATCATAGAAGGGGAACAGGAGGCCCGAGAGCCCATCAATTTCCTCCTCGATCAAGGGCATGGAGAGGTCCTCCTGCGGCAAAGAAGGCCCGTATCAGCCTGCGTGCAGGCAGGGATGGCACCTTACCTTCCCCGACCCCAGCACAGCCCCCAGAACTACATGTCCCTTTCATGTCACCCCCGGCCTCCCCGTGGCTGACCTGGTCCCAGAGGGCGATCTGTCTCGTGTTCCACCTGGAGACCCCTGTCGTGAGCAGTCGCTTCATGTTCCCCAGGAACACCACTCGGTTCACTCTGTGGTTTTTACAGTTTGCCTCCTGGCAGGAACAGACAGAGCTGGTAAGCCAGGGCCTCTGGACACTAGGAGACCGCAGTGGGCTCAGCGGGGGCCCCCAAAAGATATGTCCATGCCTTAATCCCTGGAACCTGTGATACGGGGTCCTTAAGTCCCCTGGGTCACCTACAGGTCACGTCCAGCACCCTTGGAAGAGATAAGCGACACAGACACACAGAGGAGAAGGTGATGTGACTCCAGAGGCAGAGGCTGGCGAATGTGGCTCCAAGCCAAGGAAGCCAGCAGCGACCAGGAGCTGGAAGAGGCGAGGAAGGTTCTCTCCCAGCGCCTCCAGAGCTGTGATGGAGCTGTCAGCCACTGTTCGTGGGAATTTGTCACAGCCGCCGGAGGAAACCAATCCAGGCACCGCGGAGCAGTGGAGCCTTGGGACCAGGAGCCTTGGGACCTCCCCACATCCGAGAGGGTGGGGAACGCGAAGGGAGAGCTGACAATGGCTCCGCCAAGTCCACCAAGTGCCTGGTGCGCTCGGCAGGGCGTCTCTTCCAAGCCTCACGGCAGTACCTGCTAGAAGGATGTCGGGAGCACAGGGGACTCACAGGTCGCCGCTCCATGACTTGCTTCACCCTGGGCTCCTTCCAACAGGGCCGTCCTCTGCCTCCATCCCCCTTGCCTCTCGGTTCTTGACCCTTCCTCCTCCTAACACACAACAGCCCTTCGCTGGGAAGAGTAGTCAACACCGGGCCAGATACCGGAGGTGGGCAGAGTGGCGCCAAGACCCAGGGTGACGCCTGGGTTCTGCCAAAGAAGTGTGGCCCTGAGGAGTCCCGCCCTTCTGGCCCACGTCACAGTCTGTGAGGTGGAGTGTGGGTTCTCAGCTCCGTGACTTCTTGGCTCAGCATGGGTTATCTCTGCCACCACCCCCCACCGCCGCCCTGCCCCCCTCTGCTGGCTGGGTTTGAACCCTAACTCCGCCTGCCCGCCACTCAGCGTCCATCTCTAACCCTCTCCAAGGCTCAGTGCCCCTGTGTGAAAGGGGGATTAAATGGGCGCAAGGATTAAATGGGTAAGGCTCTGGAGCAAGCTCTGAGTAAAATGGTACTAATGATGCTGATAACTGTGAGTATTATTCTCTGTAATGGTGGTAGTAGATGACTTCCTGGCCCTGCAATTTCAGACTCTTCCAAGATAAACACAGCCGGGTCGATCACCAGTCCTTTCTTGGATAGGGGGTAAGCCTCACATTTCACCCAGATTTTCCATCCCGTTCTGTCCACGTATGCCCCACAACCAGCACACAGTAGGTGCTCAAGAAGTTCATTTCTTGCTCCCAAATAGCATCTAATCCCTTCTTCGCAGTCAAGACCCAGAACACTCAAAGATCAAGCTGGAGCGAAATTCACCATCAACCTCCCCACTTGGGCGTGTCTCTGGGGCTGGTGCCCTGCCCCATGTCCCTCAGGCCGGTCCCCACACAGGTGTCTGGGCAGCGAGTCCCAAGTCCCCTTTCCTGTGCCCACGACGGCGCTTGGGTGACCCGCAAGGACTTGTGCGCTGAAGGGTGCCACCAGTTGGGCCCCCGGAGCAGGCTGGAAGAATCCCGTCTGGCGAGTGGGGTGCAGTGGGGATGAGAAAGGGGACTGAGGTCTCCCCCCCCATTTCTTGTAGGCCTGCCTGGAAACCTAGCCCCACATCCCGACACCCTCCCTCCCCCTCAAAGACTGTGGGGCTTCACCTGCAGGACGCGGCCCGAGCGTGGCTCGATCACGCGAAGCTTCTTATCCTTGCACGTGGTGGTGAGCAGGCTGCCGTCGGTGTTGAAGGACATACAGAGGATCACATCTGAATGACAGTCAATCATCTTCACCGGCTCCCCCACATCCAGGTTCCAAATGAGGACCTGCAAGGCGGGGGGGGGGGGCCCACGCCAGAGGCAGGGTCAGCCCTGTGGCCCTGCTGTGAGGCGTCTGTCCCTGTCTGCACCCGGTGGCCCTGGGAGAGCCGCCCCCCGCGGGGCCGGGGTGTGCTGGACGACAGGAGGATGGCGTTAAATTCTGTATCAAAGGCTGATGCTCCCTGCTGCACAGATCCACTACCATCGTTCGGCAGATTGTGTCTGCTGCTAGCAAGGAGGATTCGTGTCCCCGGCCAGGGCCCCATGGCTGGCACAGCCCTTTGACGGCGTGCCATTCTCTTCCTTCCACCAACTCTGGGTGTTCCTTTTTCCTACCAGGAGGGCAGCGGCCACTCCTAGATTTAAGAAGTGCCCGGCAGAGTGCGTGGGCATGAAGCGGGCATTCTCTTCCAACCTGTAAGAGCCGCAGAAACCAGACAGGCAGCCTCTGTGGACCCCAGGAACGACAGGGCGCACAGAAGATGCCCGGTGGTGGGCGGCGACTCAGCGAAGGAACGGATAGACGGACGGACGAGGCTGGAGAACGTGCTCGGGGGAAGTCACAGCGCCCCCTGCAGGCGGTTTCTCAAGATCCACAGGGCCCCGCCCCCCGCCGCTCGCGCGGTGGGCCGCTCACCTTGTAGTCATAGCCGGCGCTGAAGAGGATGTTGTTGGTCGTGGGGTGCCACTCGACCAGCCCCACGCGCCGGCTGTGCCCGTGCAGTTCCAGCAGAGCCTCTGTCATGTTCCGCTTCAAGCCGCCCTCGGGGATCTCCCAGATCCGCACCTGCAGGGGGTGGGGGGGACGGAGGGCTGGGTGGGCAGGGCCAGGAGAACCCCCCACCCCCGACGGCCCTGTCCCTCGGACACCCGGCTTCCCAGATCTGCTCAGTGATCTCTATCTGCCCTGGCCTGGCCAGTGCGGCGGATAGAGCCTGACGGAGGCCTGGGGCGGGGCGGGGGGGTGGGCAGGGGTCCGGGGTGCCCTTCAAGGGTAAAGAGACCATCTCCTTCTAGCCTTTGGGGTTTCCCGGGTGTCTGCAGCCCTAGACAACTCCCATTGCTGGCAATGTTGCTACAGTCTAGCTAGTCCCAGAGGGCCACACAGTAATCAGCTTTTGGTGAGTGTTGTATTAACAGCCTATCTCTGCCTCCCCTCCCACACCTTTCTAAGAGCTCTGACCTCGGCCTCAGTGGCGCTGCTGGCACCACATGGAGCCGCCCTTCATTCCGCATCCCCCACCCAGGGGGGTGGACAGTGAGCAGTGGAAAACCCATCTGGGAGGCCCGGAGTCTTTCCTGAGACATGAGGAACTCAGGGGCAGAGATGGCTTGGGACGTTGGAGCCCGAGCTGGGAGGATGGGCAAAGCCACGCCTCGCAGTCTCGAGGACGCCTGGGTGGCTCAGTCGGTTAAGCATCCGACTCTTGGTTTAGGCTCTCAGGTCATGATCTCACGGTTTCATGAGTTCAAGCCTGGCCTCGGGCTCTGTGCTGACAGTGCAAAGCCTCCTCGGGAATCTCGCGCTCCCTCTCTGCCCCTCCCCCGCTCGTGCTGTTTCCATCTCTCACAAATAAATGCATAAACTTAAAAAAAAAAGAAGCAGAAAGAGATGATGGGCCAAGCGAAGGCAGGACACACGGAGAAGCCGAGAGCAGAGACCATGTGGCCCCAGAGAGAGGATGCATGCAGTTTCTCTGCTATCTCTGAGTGTCTTCATCACTGACATGAGCCATGGGGGGGCTTCCATTTCTCTCGGCCAAACATACCCTGCACAGTTGCAACCGTTTTATCTACAAATGGGAGAGAAAACTCTTTGCCTTGCCTCGTCTACCGGTAGAATAAGGTGAGATGCTGGTTGCCGAAGTCTGTAAACTGTAAAGTGCTCTAAAGACCTAAGGAGTTCTAGTCCTTGTTATAATTGTCGTCGTCATTAATGCTACTGATTGCATGCTGCCTGCGGAGGAAAGAACACACATGACTAGCATTTAGGGCTCCTTTCAAGCGAGTCTTTTGAAAACCTGAACTCCACCTCGGCCAGTAAGGAGAAAAATTGGAAAAACAGCTTTGAGATACGATTTATAATCTTTTAAAATAGCCACCCTGGGAGGGGACAAGGGCCAGGGGTTGGCAAGATTACCTACTGGAACTTGTAGATTCAATCGGTATTGGTAGTATTATAAATCAGAGTAACTCTTTTGGAAGCAATTTGGCAATCTTTAGTCAGAACCACAGAGGCATTTATGCTGTATACTTTGACCTAGTAATTTCACTCTGAAAACCCAATATAAGCAAAAATCTCCATGCATGAAGATGTTCATTGCAACACGGAAAATTTAGACACCCTCAAAGTGACCAACATTAGGCAACAATTTTATATGCTCTGTCATTATGTGATATTAGCTATTCAGTGATAATTCTGAAGCCCATGAGTAAATAGGGAAAACCGAAGGCAGGCCCAGGAGAGAAGGCTGGGAACTGGGGGTACCCCTAAGGGAATTCCCTTGGCAGTTTCCCTTCTCGATGTTTCCCCCTCAGACTCTAGCCATGAGTATTTCCACATGTGTGTTTCCCCGGAAGACCCAGCCCTGCACATGTCGACATGGGGGCCTTCAGGGTGGGTTAAGAGAGGCAGGTTCAATCAAAGGTTTGGGGTCACCCTTAGGTGTAGCATTCTGTTTCAAAAAATACACTTGGGAGGGAGAGGGCAACTGGGTGGCTCAGTTGGTTAAGCGTCTGACTCTTTTTTTAAAAAAATTTTTAAATGTTTTACTTATTTCTGAGAGAGAGAGAGAGGCAGTGCGAGCAGGGGAGGGTCAGAGAGAGGGAAATACAGAATCCAAAGAAGCCTCCAGGCTCTGAGCTAGCTATCAGCACAGAGCCCGACACGGGGCTTGAACCCACGAACCGTGAAATGGTGACCTGAGCCGAAGATGGATGCTCAACCGATTGAGCCACCCAGGTTCGTGAGTTTGAGCCCCGCATCAGGCTCTGAGCTGATGGTATGGAGCCTGCTTGGGATTCTCTCTCTCCTCTCTCTCTGTCCCTCCCATGTCTCTCTCTCAAAACAAGTGAATGAATAAACTTAAAAAAAAAAAAAAACAACACTCAGTGGCATGCCTGGGTGGCTCAGTTGGTTAAGTGTTTGACTTTGGCTCAGGTCATGATCTCATGGTTCATGGGTTCGAGCCCCACTTCAGGCTCTGTGCTGACAGCGGAGAGCCTGGAGTCTGTTTTGGATTCTGTGTCTCCCTCTCTCTCTGTCTCTTATCTACTCACGCTCTCTCTTTCTCTCTCTCAAATAAATAAACATTAAGAAAGTTAAAAAAAAGAAAAACACTCAGGGTACCTGGTTAGCTCAGTTGGTAGAACATGCAACTCCTGACCTCAGGGTTTTAAGTTTGAGCCCCACACTGGGTGTAGAGATTACTTTAAAAAAATAAATCTTAAAAAAATGTTTAAAAAACACATTCCAGAAAAAGTTTATAATTAGGGGACAGTTCACAAGATTTTTCTGACACTGTAATTGCCTTTGGTTGCTCCATCTCTCCATGAATGCCCAGCATGCATGAGGCGCCTGGCTGGTTCAGTTGGTAGAGCGTGTGATTCTTGATCTTGGGGGTCATGAGTTCAAACCCCATGTTGGGTATAGAGATTACTTAAAACGAAACAAAAAGCCCAGAGCTCACACACAGCCCTACATGGTGGTGGGAGTTGGGGGAGAGAGGTGATAGGGGCCCCAGCAGGACCCATGGCTTTTCCTTGGCAGGTCCAGCATCAGGGAATTCAGCAATGAGGTCTTATCTGGAAGTGGAGGGGAGGGTAGAGGAGGGCCCAGTGTAGATGACTGGGTAGTCACCAATAAGACACATTCCTCTTGTCCCCAGGGCACCAGAGGAGGGCGGCCCTTGAAGAGAGGAGAGCAGTGCCTAGGTTGGGTACATTACATGTGCACGTGCACTCGTGTGCACACACACCGCACACCCCACACTCCTTTGTCTTTTACCCAGAGGGAGGCCGTTACACATGTTCTTCTGCAACTTGCCTTTCTCCTCTAACAGGTAGCGGGCCTCTTTCCACACCAGCACACCAGGTCCTATGGATATACCTTATCTTATTAAGTGGCCGGGGGGGGGTCGGGGGGGGCATGTGCGCATGACTGTACCATGATGATTTAATCAGCCTCTATTAACGGACGCCTGGGTCCCGCCCACTTTTGTCCGTGTTGCCATCCACTCTGTGCAGAACGGCCCTGTCATACAAGGTTGAGTGTGGATATTTCTGTGGGGCACGTGTCTCCAAGCATTTCACTTTTTTAATAGTTCCTGTAAAACTGTCCCCAAAAACTGCCCCACTTTTCGCCAAGCGAGTCTGAGAGTGCTTCTTTACCTAGGTCTCTACCTCTCTACCTTCAAAAATAGCCTTCTGCCCACCCAGTAGGTTGAAAATGCCATCTCACTGTTTGGGCTTGTGTTTCTTTGATTCCTAGAACTACTCGGCATCATTTTCTGTGTTTAGAGTTTGCACATGTGGAGGAGACTCTAGACACTTCTGGACTCAAAGGGATGAGACGTTGAGGGTCATGAGAGGAAGCATTTGGAGGCAGAGGATGCTGCCTATGGACACCTTTACCGCGTCTTGAGGATGACGGACAAGTATGTACACACATGGGCACCCAGGCAGTCAGTGTGCAAGTGCTGACTGAGGCAGGAGAGTGACTTTGAGAGACATCTCTGAAACAGATATCACAGCCTCATTCATGCCACACACACCTCCGAGGCAGAGTCCTGCTAGCCGACGGATTGCGATGAGCTCACCCCGTGCCTGCAGATAAGGGCAGAGAACTCACTCATGGAAACAGAGCTGGAGGGGAGCCAAGGGTGGGAGGGTCTGGGCAGAGCAGGGCTAGAAGATACGATGTTGGCCCGAGTTTGAAAAGAGGGGTTGGGGATGCGGGGAGGGGTGAGGGGACAGAAAGATGACCAGCGTGCACGCGCTTGGGCACAGTGGCTGGGGGCACTGCAGGTGCATCAGCCTGACGGGTGCGGGGCAGCCCGGCAGGTAGCAGAGCAGGCAGCCAGAAGCCATGTGTGTCCCACCTGGTCACGGAGCGCTCAGGAAGAAGCTTTGCTCGGGCCGAGTTTCATTGGAATGAAAACAGTCCAATTCCTGAGCGTCCAGCTAACTGAGGCGCGTCCCCTGCCAGGGTAAGGTGCCAGGGAACCTGTGAAGCGGGGGTCCACCCAGGCTCTAATCTCACTCCCTGGCTGGATGACCTTGGAAAGCCAGGTGGCCTCTCTGAGGCTCAGGGTCCTTGTCTGCGTGATGAAGAGAGAAACGCGCACCATGGAGAGGCATGTGGCTGAGACTACCTCGGGCTTCATGTCCTTGGGGGCCAGAGGCTTCCTAGCTCCAGGAGCGGATTTGCTGGGATCACAGCTCTGTCTAGGAACCCAGGGGCTGAGCCAAGGGGGTGGGGGTGGCAGGATGTGTCTGGGCCCCGGGTTCAACCTCTGAACTGGATCCAAGTCCCAGCCATGGAGCCGAGCCCAGGGGGAGGCCAAAAGAGCGGTTTTCACCAATAACTGTTGGTGTAAGGTCCCAGGCAGTGCTTGGGGGACCCGATGAGAAATGTCCTACAGAGGAGAGAGGCACCTTGCCTTATCCCCATATGATACCAGCCACTCCCCTCCCCAGGCCCCAGTTTCCTCATCTGCACGAGGAGGCGATCCCAGGAAATCTCCTGAAGTTCTCCACTTTTGACATCATTGAATGTATCACTGGGGAGGGGAGAGAGACTGGCTCTGTTTGGTCCACTGCTATAGCCCATAGCTGGCACCGTGTGCCATGGGAGCTCAGAGGAGGAGCCGAGTTCACAGTGGGCCTAAGTTGCTGGAAAAGGAGCTCCAACCTCTGGGTCTTCAAGAGATTTGTTTGAAGCAGAAGAGAGGATGGGTGTGGGAGGACACCGTGGCTCTGCTCAGAGGTCGCTCTGGAAAGTTACTTCAATTCAACAGGAAACCTGATAAGGACAGACAAACCGGATTTCTGGAAGGAAGGGGTGGAGAAATGTAGCAAAACACTCTCTCTAGCAAGCCAGCTGTGTCCCCTTTGAGGTCCGTGGGTCAGAGCGCTGTTTAACTCCGTTCCATCCAATGCAACAAAATATGCCCCATGTCCTACTGTATCACGCATCCTACGTATGGGGCAGGGGAGCGTATCCATCGTCTCAGCAGCTCACAGTTTTGTGGGGGAGACAGCAGACAGTGCAGACAAGGCGAGCGGGAGACGGCTGACAGGGGTGGTTAATAAAGTTACAAAACCTTTAAGTGTCCCTTTGCCTGGGGAGGGGTGGCTCTGCAGTCTAACAAGCTCTGTTCAAATCCGGGCTCTGACCTTACTGGCCTCCCCATTCCTTCCTTCTCCCATGGACTGAATCTGATACCTCGGGGAGAGCACAGTTTGTCCTTCTGCCTATCGATTCCGAAAAAGAGAGCAGCTCCCCAGCGCCAGCCACCCCACTGGCTGGCCGGCTCCACCATGCGGGGGCAGGGTCTTCTAAGTCACCACCTTTGCCTTCAGCGCAAGGAACAGTGCCTGGCATGTTCCTGCTGAATGAATGAGTCAGTGGAAGAATCCTAGAAGCCCAGAAGCTTAGCTATCACATCAGCAGCAGGTTCAGCAATAAGGGGGAGCCCTTACTCCGGCTGTCGGTGAGCTGGGTCAATGCGAATTCACCCCTGTAATCCTGGCTTGGAAGGGGATAGGGGGTTTCTCTCTTGGATTTTGAGGTTCACCATTCAGCTTAGTCTTTATTTGAAAACCAGTGACAGAAGGCCTCTTTGGGGGCTCAGCGAGCAAAGAATGAGATGGAAAGAGCACTGGATCTCTGACTCCAGCTCTCGGGGTGCCCTGGGGGCGTTCTAGAGAGAGCTCCCGGGAGACAGGAAACAGGAACCACAGTGTGTTTCATCTTAGGCAGAGCCCAATATGCTCTCCGTTTTACAGGGTGCACCTTATGTGCACAGAGGTAAGGAAACTGGTCCGAAGTCACAGGTCTGGGAAGGGGCAGAACCAGGATTGGGACCCAGGCCTATGGACTCCTGAGCCTGGGTGTTGGACACAGAGCCACACCACCGCTTTCTCTGCGGTGCCACCGGGTATGTCGGTGAGGCCTCAGCCAGGCCATTGACCTCTCTGAGGGTGACTGTCCCTTTGTCTCTGAAAGGGGCACGTTGCTCCCTTCCAGCTCCAAGAGGTATTAGTTCGTGTGTGTGTGTGTGTGTGTGTGTGTGTGTGTATGTGAAAGGACAGGGTGGTGGGTGGCTTCTGGCTGCTTCCCCACAGGGCTGACATCCTGCCCCATCCCACTCCCAGCGCCTCTGGGAGGGGCATCCTCTCTGCGGGTGGGGGTGGGGTGGGAGGGCAGCCTTTGGATAAAGGAGCAGAGGAAGAGAAGGCAGAGAAAAGATGCTGAGCTCAGCCCACCAGGGAGAGGGGCCTGCCTCCCTCTCCCCCCCTGGGACCACCCTTTCCCTCTCCTTGAGCTGTTGGAAAGCTCTCCTTCTCTCTGCAGCTGCTGGCCCTCTGGGAAGGCTAGGAGCAGCGGCTGGAAACCCACAGAGCCCTTCCCCGCCATCCATCCGGCAGCCACCCTCCCGAGCTGCAGCAGAAGCTATAAAAAGCACAGCCCTTCAACAATAGGTGACATCACCCAGCGGCGGAAAGAACTGGATTCTGCCAGATGCCAGGGAGAGTTATGGCCCCTACCTCTCCCTCAGGATGGGAGCCCCTCGGGAAAGGGCCTGGGTACGTTCCATTGGCCCCCCTGGAGAGGTGGGGTCCGACTCCAAGGTCCTCCTCCCTCTCTTGGGGAGGGGAGGGCATGGGGGATGGATTTCACCAGAGGATTTTCAGGGATGGGGCGGATGGGAAAGGAGCTCCCGTGCAGGGAGGGCTTGCTGGCTCCCTTCAGTGTCCTCTGGACGTTCTGAGAGACAAGCAGAGGGCAGTGGAGGGGTGAGAGGAGGGGGGCAGGCACTGCCTGGGGACATGGGCCAGACTCGCTTCACACAGGTCCCCTCCCTAGCCCCAACCCCCAACCTCAATGAGTAGCACAGTGCCTGGCATTTGGTAGGTCTGCGGGCTGACCTCCTAACCCTGGTTCTGGATGTTGGGTCTGATGTGCAGTGCGCTGATGATCTGGGCCACAGTGGGTCGAGGGAGGGTGTCTCAGTGGCTTGCCCCTTGAGGCGCTTTGAGGGAGCAGGAAGGTCCGTCCCAACAGCCCTGGCAGCTCCGACTGGCTTCCGTCCCTGACCTTGGGGGCTGCAGGCTCCTTCCCCTTACAGATCAGCTCTCCCCGGACCTGCGGAGGACACCTCCCCTCCGTGTGCCCTCGGTGGGGGCCTGGCACGCGCCCTGCTCAGACAAGACACGGAGATGTAAATGCTGAATGTCTGATGGATCTGAACTGCCAGCCCTTTGTGGCCTCAGTTTCCTCATCTGTAAACCTGAGACCGTTGGTGGGGTGCTGAGGATCGCTGGCTGGGAGTCGGGAGAGCCGGGTTCTGACTCTACCTGTGACCTTCCTCCCTGTGTGACCTTGGACTCGGTGCCTCCCCTTGGGCCTCAGGGAGGGGCTACTCCAGCATTGGGGGCTTGTTAGCTCCACTGCCAAGAACCTTGGCCCCGAGGCCAGAGAGGGCTGGACACTGAGAGGGGCTAAGGGGGGCTCCGAGCTGCTGCTTCTGGGGCAGCTGGACTGGAGGCTGGATCAAGAGCTTAGTTCCTCTCCGGACCAAAGACTTAATCTCCTTCTCTCTGGACAGGTGGCCCCGGGCCAGCCCTCCCCACTGTGGCCCCGGTCCTGGTGTCCTTTTGCTTGATCTCCCACCGCTGCCGGCCACACTCCTCCCCTGGGTGTTCCCCTCCCCCTGGCCGAGCCACATCCCAGAGCTGGTTTGGCTCAGGGCGGGGGTGGGGGGGTGGGGGCCCTCCTCTACACCAGCCGTGACCCCTCCCGGCCACTAGCTTCCCTTCCCTGATCCCTGGGGTAAGCAGCGTCCCCTACCTATGTTGAAATCCTACCCCCTAGGCTGACAGTATTTGGACTTGGGGCCCCTAGGATGTGACTAAATCATGAGGGCGGAGCCCTCAAGAGTGGGATTAGTGCCCTTATCAGGGCCTCCGGAAGGACCCCAGCCCCTTCTGCCACGTGGGCATACAAGGAAATGAGGGCCGTCCTCCCCCATGCTGGCACGTGATCTTGGACTTTTCTCCAGAGCTGTGAGTAGGAAGTGGCTCACTCTATCAGCCACCCAGTCTGGTGTTCTGTTACAGCGGCCCGGGGACCCTGCCCCTGCGCCCAGGCCTGCACCTTCTCCCTGGGCCTCCTTCAGCCCCTTCTCTGCCAGCAGTTAGCTTTCCCTGGCTCCCTGCCCCTTTCTGCGTTTCCGGCACGAATCCTGCCTCCCCGTGTGCCTAGTGCTTGGACTTTGGTCTGCACTGCACTTCAGTGAGTGGCCAGTGACCTTGCCCTTCTACTAGTGGGTGTTTCTGGAGCGGCATCAAGACCAGCAGGCACAGTGCTGGGCACAGACCTCCCTTCCTCCTCACAGCAACTGCCAAAGGCACGTATCATTATTGCCATTACCCAGAGGAGCAAAGCAGAGGCTCGGAGAGGGCAAGTCACACGCCCTTGGTCACCCAGTTGGCAAGCACTGGCACCAAGACTCAGTCCCGGTCCATGAGATTCCCCAGCCAAGCTCCCTTTGAAGGGCAGCACCCGGGGGAGTGCGGCGGGGACACTGCGGTCCTTCGGTCAGTGTGTGAAGAGGGCCACCTGGCTGGTGTGGTCGGGGCCAGGGCCTGACGCCTCCTCCTGACAGGCAGCGTGGATCCCTGGCTTCTTAGTGGGGCTGCTGGACCAAAGGGCACCCGACTCACAGCCGGGACAATAAGGTGCTGAGCTAGGACCAGGTGGAGCTGCCAGGGCGAGGGGCCCTCCCTCCCTCCCCCTGAGTCAGGCGGAGCCAGGGAGCTCCGTGAGCCCTGGCCTGTCTGTCCTGCCCCTCATCCAGCTGATCACTGCTCCTCTCTGTCCCAGCTGGCTGCCTTGGTGACACACGGGACACCGGGGTGGGGGGTGGGAAGCAGAGACTTCTAGCTCGGACTGTGTGGATCGTGCCATGACGACACTTGGTTGAGTGGACAGAGGCTGGGGTCGCCGCGCTCCTCCGTGGGTTCCCTGAGTCCGGACGGCTCCCCACTGCCCCCTCTCCAACTGAGCGCAGTGCCTGGTGCACAGACCACTGAGCCCCCCGCCCCCAACCCCCCCCCCCCCCCCCCCCCCCAGCCAGCTCCAGCTGCATCCTTCCCAGCCCTAGACGGGCAGGGGGGAGACTACAGCCGGGGAGGAAGGTCCCCTTTTGAGACCACAAGCAAGTGCTGAATCACACACCTAAACTTCTCGTTTTCATTCTCACCTACAAAATCAACACCTCCAAACTGAAATCACACTCAAGGCGCCGGATCTGCCAAATATTCCGCGGACTCGCTGTCTCAGTCCTTTCCCCAACTCCCTCCCCACCCCGGGGCTAGCTGGAGGGATGGCAAAGAAGGCAGAAGAGGGGCAGGGAGGGAGGAAGAGAGGAGGAAGCAGGGAGGACCCCGGGGCCCCCCCTCCTCGGCGAGCACCCTTCCCGCTCACCGATGTGTCCTCCGAGCACGAGGCAATGATGTTGTCAATGAATGGGTTCCACTTGATGTCCAGCACGTTGCCTTGGTGACCACAGACCTTGGGGTAGTTGGGTTCAATCCTGCCCGTCTGCCAAGGAGGAAGAGAGAGAGAAGGGGATGAGTTTGGTGGGTGGCCCAGAAAGGAGAGCCTTTATTCCGGGCTTCTAAGCTGGACCGGGAGGTCCTTGAGGACCTACCACTATATTGTGCACCGTTGCATTTCTGCACCAGGCCCGTCCAGAATGTTCTGTGGCTCTGTCCTCCCCAGCCCTGAATGGTAAGGGGCAGGCAGCAAGAGCAGAGTGATACGCAGTTGGTCCATACCACGCCTCTCTCTGGGCAGATTAGGCAAAGCACCGCTTCCTCAAGTGAAAGTTGAAAGTTAAGGTGCTCCCTGTTCACCTGAAACACCAGAGCCTAACGGGCAGCAGGCCTGGCAGTCCACGCATCCAGACACAGGGCACGCGTCCCCATTCTCTCCCCAGTGCCCATGCTCCCCGCCGCCCTCCGGGGAGGTGCCACGGTCAGGAGGAGGCTCCTTCCTGCTGCTCCAGGAGTCAGCAGGGAGGCCTGAGTCTCTGGGCCCACCTAAACACGGTCATAGAAGTCACTCTGCCTGCGATGGGACCAGTGCTGCTCCCAGATGTGGGTGCTCGTTCAGTGCGCATCTTAGACACCTGTACACAGCACCCTGTGGTTCAAAGCATAGTCCACAGAGCCACACAGGCCTGCATTTGAATTACAGCTCTGCTGCTTTGTAGGTACATGGCCTTGGGAAAGTCAGCAAAGTTCTCTGAGCTTCGGTTTCCTCATTTCTGAAACACGGACAGTAATATCTGCCTCTAAGCCTTTTGTGGCCACTGAATGAGCTAATGCTTAGCAAAGTGCTTCGTGTAGAGATTATCATCATAGTGAATGCTCAGTGTATGGTAGTAGCAGTATTATCATACAGATTAGATAATGACACCTCCTCCGGGAAGCCCTCCCTGATCCCTAAGTGGGTTAATAGCTCCTCCTCTGTGTGCTCGCCACATTCTGTGTTTCCTTCTGTTACAGGCACCCTCATATACAGCTGCAGCCCACTTCTTGTCCGTGAGCAGCTGAGGACAGAACCCTCTCTTGTCTCTGACTATCCCGCTCCATACAAGCCTGGTACACGCTATGTGCGAGGTACCTGACCTGAAAGACATCCTTCAACGGCAATGGATTCCACAAAAGATGGAACAAGGAGTATGGGAGCAGGAGGGGGTGGGGGGTAGGGAAGAGAAGTCCATGTTTAAGGAAGGGGAGTAAAATTATAGGCAGAAGATGTGTTTCCATCGCCAGGCTCTTTAATACTAGGTTTTTGGGGCATCGGAGGAAGTAGGAAGGATTTATCTCGTCACCGGCCATCGGCTGACAGTGGTGAGGTCATCCGAGGCACCTTCGGCAGGTAGTACCTCCCTCCCACCTTTAGCTTCCTCCCCTGAATAATGAAGGAGAGAATTTAATTTTTGTAAAGACTCTGCTTCCCGTACCTTCTGCTTCACCAGTATGGCGGGGCAGGCGTTATTCCAGAACGTGTGTCCCGCTGTGACCTCTCCCCACCCACTTTCTGTCCGAATCTCCATCAGCTCCTTTCCAGATTGGCTGATTTTTTTGTGTGACAACGCGACGGTGAGATGGGTAGAGACAGAAACAGACCCAAGGGAAAGTGGTAACGGTGGGGAAAGAGAGAGAAGGAAAAAGCGTCAGAGGGGTACTCAGGAGAGCTGCACCGACATCGCGTGCATTGTGGGGAAACTGCAGAATGGACGGAAAGGGTCTGGGGGCGTACTGCCATCAGTTACAAACAGGGTCCCCTTTGCCATTTTATGGGGGATGCAGTGAGAGCTGGAACGCCTCTCTCTATTACTTTTGGGCTCTTGGACTATTTCTTTAAAACAAGACCCTGAGCAGCGACTGAACCACATGTGACCATGGCTTTGGTCAGGGTTACACATGACCTTCTCTGGCCCTCACACAGGCTGTGATTCAGGTATGAGGGGGTCGAGGCCCCGAGGGCCTACGCAACGCACACGAGATTACCCTGCTGGAGGCGAATCAGGGGTTCCTGCTGAGGGGCAACCCTTCAAGTCTGAGCTTACTGAACCCTACCCTGCTCTTTTTGGCCAACTCCCCGCGTCCAGTCTGACCTCGAAGGGCAGACAGGCACTGCCCTGTCTCCTCCCACAGCTCGCCCGCCCTCTGGCAGAGCCCCTACATTGGATCCCAAAGGCTGCATCTACGTGATCCCTGAGCAAATCTGCCCGCATTAAGCTTTTGGCACGCAGCCCAGCCCAGGCAAATCGGAGGGGCGCCAAATCAGTCAATAGGTGGCCATCAGCTAAAAGGAGCTTCTGGCCAGCAGCCCATGCGGGTGATGCCCTGGAAGGACAGGTTAAGTGGCATCGCTGGAGCCCACGGAGTATGGGGTGAGGTCAGGGCCCTGCACTGGGAAAGGAATACGTCTTTTTAGAGCTGAGAATGATCCTGATGTAATGTACATACCAGGTGGACCTCGCCTTACACAATGGATTCATTCCCCGGTGGGGTGGGGAATTGCGATCGTCAAGACTAAATCACGCTGTTGGTTCTGTGAAAGGCGACCCCCTAGGATTGCGCAGTGTGCAACCTGCTTGGCTGTACGCGGTGGCCCTCAGGGGAAGGTCCCCCCGCTTTTGACCTGGCAGCTCTGCTTTTCCTGTTTTGGATCACGGGGCTCTACATATCATTTTGTTGGAAAAACGAGTTCCGCTGCTAAGAAAAAAATGTCTGAAAACCACTGTTCTATGGAGAAATCAAGTAAATTGAAAAACACAACTATTAACTCCAGGAAGAAGGTTGTATAAGAAAGCTAACGTAAGTCATAGTGATCGCGATTTATGTGCAATATTTACATAGTTGTAATAACATAAACCCTGAATGTTTATTTAAACCAGAGTTACACTATAACACACTGGGAGCACAGAGGTAGGGAAAGCGTGTGTGTGTGTGCGCGTGTGTGTGTGTGTGTAGTAAGAGGGGAGACTGGGCTGGAAGAGAGCCAGATCCTCAAATTCCATAATAGGAAGTCAACACACAATGTCTAAGACGTAAAAATTCTAGACATGACAATGAAAGCGTGTAATTAAGAAATACAGGGCTAAGTGCAAGAAGAAACAGCGAAAAGCAACGAACAGGGCTCCCTTTGGGGCGTGTAGCAAAGTGGGAGACAGACTGGTTACAGGCAGCGGTGCGCCGGTAACTGCTTGGCTGGATCTCCGGGGAAAAGAGGTTCTGGTTTGGGGCATTCACCAATTTCAGGGGCATAAATGTTCCTACTAGGCTAATTTTAATCTACCAGGGTGCTGTCACCAAAAGCTGAGTGAGAAGAGACTCACGACAGTAACCATCACGTAAGGTTTCTACCATGTAGGTATGATGGACGCGAGTCTCCCCCAGAGCACGGGGTGTAGTAAAATAACTAGGGAGTGATACGCTGTTAGCATCTAGGACTTTTGTTTTTGGGATAATGTATTTAATCGCAAGTTTGCATAACTTAGTTTTTAATAATGGCCATGTTTACCAATCGGCTTGCAGAACTCTTACAAATGCAGCAACCGGGCTCTCATGAGCAGGTACAAGCCGCTTCCGGCATGTCACTTGTGCCCTAGACCTCCAAGTAGCATGGGGCTTGATGAGCTCTGGACACTTATCGCTTCAATAGACATAAAAATTAAAGCACAAATAAATAAAATGCACGCATTAGGTGTTCTAAAGGAAGCTTGTTCTGTATTTTTAAAAAAATGTGAGCAACCCCCATCCCAGACCCCCAAATACCTCTGTCTTCTGTTCCAATTTCTTTTTTCTTAAATGTTTATTTATTTTTGAGAGACAGAGAGAGAGAGAGAGAGAGAGACAGAGACAGAGAGACAGAGAGACAGAGCGGGAACAGGGGAGGAGCAGAGAGAGAGGGAGACACAGAATCTGAGGCAGGCTGTCAGCACAGAGCCTGACGAAGGGCTTGAACTCATGGACCGCGAAATCAAGACCTGAGCCGAAGTCAGACACTTAACAACTGAGCCACCCAGGCGCACCTCTGCCCCCCGTTCCAATTTCTGTATGGGGGTGTGACTTGAGACCAGACCCAGGTCTGGTTAGTAACTGCTACACAAAATGGCCGTCTATCTGTCACTCATTCTTATACAGACACACTGACACTAATGCTATCCTGCCTAAGATCAGATTTCATCCTCATATAACAAGTTCATCTTACAGCTGAGGGAGCGGAGGTTCAGAAAGGGTCTAAGGAGCAGAGTCAAAGTTTTTCAGTGTTTCATAATGTTAGCATCACCGCAGAGAGAGATGGCCAGTTCACAGAACTGCCCCCGCGCTAGGGGGCTAACCTGCCGTCTGGTCTTTGAATCTCAAAGAGAGCTTCAGCCTCAACAGAGCTGAGGCAGAGACCTCGCTCCCTGGGGTGAGGTGGGAAGTCTGTTCTTTGGAGTCTATAATCCTATAATCACTAGGGAAATCTTCGTGCCGTCGGTGTGGACCTTATCCTGGAAGACTCAAAGGGCAAATCCAGCCCCTGCGCTGAGGCAGACCTTCAACATCAAATGTGGGGCGGAGGGCTTTCTAGACCTTGAGTCTTTTTAAGGAGGAGCCAGGTTCTGGGGGGGCGAGTCATTTCTCAAACGTACCTCATCTACCAAAAGACCAAGTTAGTAGGGCTGGCACACAGGCCTCTCTGTGCGGTGGGAGGGGGTGTGAAGTAGGGCAACCTTCCTGCAGATGCATTTGACCTAGTCTTGCAAAGGCTTTTAGAAGGTTTGTAGCCTTTGGCCAGTAATTCCACTTTGGGAACTTATCCCAGGGAAATCGGCAGACAAGCACCCCGAGACATTCACCGCATGGGTATTTATAACAGCGAGCGGTATCATAAACGCCCCATGGCGGGGCACTGCCAAAGCGAATTACGGGACATCAACATGACAGACTATTATGAGGTCATTGAAAATGGTACTTTCAGAGAATATTTAATGACTTGAGAATTTCTCAAGAGCTAATGTTTAGTGAAATAGTCAG